AGAGGGAGTAAAAACCGAACTGAACTACTTGACTGAATCAAGCGGAGAATCGTCAACTTAATTAAGATAACTTAAATTCATTTTATCTGCTGCCTGTGCAGGACGGGTGGTAGTGGGTGGCCACGAACTGTTTCTGGAGAAAGCACTAGACGGAAACTTTCTCCCAGAAAACCATGGCAATGCTAGAAAATTTGTGTTCGTTGAAGGAAGTAGGGAAAATGGCTCTAGTGGATGGATCTAAGATTAGGCCCATCGCTAAAAATCTGCTATTTATCAATTTTATCTGGATGAACGCGTCATTGGGACGGTACTAACGGATATTGGAATGGAATTTATGTATGGGCGCAAATTAGGGGCATCTGGCCGACATTACATCCATTTCCCCTGTTACGACAAAAGTGCATCACGAAATGAGATGCAAAGCGTAGAGAAAAACAAAACTACGAAACCCATGGATTGGAGGATCAAATTAACATGGTGAGACCTGTCCAACTACTTTTTACAATTTAAAAAAAATAAACAAAATACGTGCCAGGATTCAAAAGGACATTTTGAAACTGCAAGTGTGTGTAATCCAATTGATAGAGGTAATACATACATGCGGGGCTTATTGTAAGTGAAAGTAACCTCGGAATGGGCGTGATTCTCCAGACATTCTGAAATGGTTTGCTGGACCTGCAATAAAGCTATCACCTTCTAACTCCCGGACTGAAGCTGTCTACAATAACGATAAATGCGACATTGTAGAGAGAGAGTAACTTTCGCGTCACTTTTCAAAAGGTTCTAAGTAACAAATGTAAACAAACCGAGTAAATCGATACAAACTATTGTTCTTCTATCATTGTATGTGATACAAAAACACATGTCCAAATTAACTTTCATTTATTCAAGATAATCATAGGTCAAAAATTGTCCTATGTACAATTTGAAATGATGGGTACGTGATGGGTACTTCGGACATTTGAATGCCTTTACTTGATTGGTTCTCATTTTCTAAAGGCAGGGCTTGGTTAGGTTAGGTACTCTATTCTCAAACCTGTGAAAGGGAATCTTGTATCATGTAGAACAAAACGATCAATGTAACACTCATTGATTATGACATTGAAGAAAATTGCCCAATGCAACATGTCCGATGTACAACTTGACTAGTCAAAACGTCCTATGTGTATTTTTTTTTCTATATTGTACCATGCAATTCAAAGTAAAATTCTGATTTTACCGTTTCTACTGAATTACTAACGCTATTCTTCACTGACTACAGTAAAAATAGTATTGCAAAATGTATTGTTTCTAAACAGTTAAAATAATAATCTGTCGAACTTCATTAAACTATATAAAACGACTATTCTTTCAGTTCTTGAGTATGGCTCTTTTTGCTTCCTCTCGGCAAGAAAAACCCACCTAATTAAATTGGAACGCATTCAATATCGTTGTTTACGTATTGACCTTGGCTGTATGCATTCAACACACAATATGAGCCTAGAGGTCCTAGCGGGCGTAAAACCCCTGCAGAACCGTTTCTGGGAGCTCTCATTAAGAATATTGATTAAATGTAGTGTCAGTAACAACCTTGGGATTGAAAACTTCAAAGAAATGCTCGAATTGAGCATCTAGTCTAGATTCGTGCGAATCTATCTTAACTATATGTCATCGGATATTAGCCTTCCTTGCTATAACCCCTCTCGTGTATGCAGTTTCCCCATTGACTATGATCTCTCCATGAAACAGGCTATTCAAGGAGTTCCAGATCAACTTCGACCTATCTCAATTCCCAGCATTTTTGCTGAAAAGTACCAACAAGTCAATTGTAATAGAAGATTTTTCACTGATGGATCACGCATTGATGGATCCACTGGCTTCGGCGTCTTCAATGAATACTCAACCGCCTTTCGGAACTTCAGGAACCTTGTTTCGTTTATGTTGCTGAGCTAGCAGCAATCAACTTCGCATTGGGGATGATTTCCGACATGCCCATAGACCATTACTTCATCTTCTCGGATAGTCTCAGATCGATTGAGGCTATTCGGTCGATGAAACAAGGTAGGCCCTCATCTTATTTCCTTTCAAAGGTAAGGGAGCAGATGAGTTTGCTGGTCGAAAGATCATAAATGATTACCTTTGTATGGGTCCCCTCACATTGCTCAATCCCAGACAATTAGAAGGCAGACTCTCTCGCAAAGGTGGGCGCACAACAAGGCGAGATTTATGATAGAAGAATTTCACATGACGAATTTTTCCCATTAGTACGTCAGAGTTCTCTTTTAAGTTGGCAAAACGATTGGACAAGTAATTCTCTTGGGCGGTGGTTAAATTCCATTATTTCAAATGTTTCTTCGAGAGCGTGGTTCAAAGGTCTGGATGTAAGTCGGGGATTCATTCGAGTGATGTCAAGACTTATGTCCAACCACTACTCGCTAGACGCACATCTCTATAGAATAAACCTCGTTGACAGCAATATATGTAGGTGCATAACCGGATATGATGACATCGATCACGCAGTTTGGTATTGCCCGGGTAATGACGCCTCCAGAGCACGACTATTGGATACCCTAGTGGCCCGAGGTAGACAACCCTTCCGTGAAGTAAGAGATGTATTGGGAACACGTGATCTTTCCTACATGCAAGCGATCTACGAATTCCTTTGTTTGTCTGATGTTAGAGTTTGATGTGACCATCCCCTCCTTTCCAAACAATTTCCAGCCAATGTGTCCCAGTCTTATTATCCTCCTGTTCATGTGCTACTTGCCCCCGCCCAGCCAGGATTTGGTCAACCGTCCGAGAGTAGTATCTGAAGGAGGCTCCAGAAACCAGTTTCCTACCTAGCTCATTCCAATCGAAATTGTTACCCATTAACCTCGAGCCCACCACGAGTAATTGGTACCCAATACTAACCTAGAACTACTGCTATTTAAAATGTAAATTCAAACATTACTGATTTTGGCTCCGCAAAGTTTCACACATGACTGAGCCTAGTAAATAAACGAACTAGTTTAAAAAAATGTATTGATTCTAAACAGTTAAAATAATAATCTGTCGAACTTCAACATCGATTTTCTCAAAATGGTGGATATGTAACATTGGTCTATTTGAAAAGTGACGCGAGAGGGGGGTTAGAGATAATACACACACAACAAATTGAACTACACTGTTCGCCATCACACAGAGCTGCTGTATAGATGATGTGATGATGAAAGTATAGAGTTGATAGTTGGCGTTGAAGTACGGCAGTGTGAACATTGTATATAGAAAGTAGAAAGCAAACAAAAGTAAATTTTGAGGAAGGTACGAATTTGGTTGATCAAAGGAGAATCCGTACGTTGAAATGATGAACAAATTCACATTTTATATAATTTTTTTTTAATTGTTACAATTTTTTTTCAGTGTTTCAATTCTGTACAACTTATTCTCAGACGCAATTTTGATACAAAAAACGGTTTTAGAGTTTGAATTTTTTGAAAAATTCATTTGTGAAAACACATACGCCCTTTTCAAAAATTAGTATTGAGTAAAAATGGTCTTATGATCAATGAAAAAATCATAATCTCCCATACTGAAGACATGTTGAAAGTTTCATCAAAATCGAAGGGGGTCGTGCCAAGTCGTTTGCTCATTTGACAGAAAATTGCTTAAGAAAACAAAAATTCATTAAATTGTGCACGTGGAAAGGTGAGGTAAACATAAAATTTGAGAAAAACAAATGTTTCCTATGAAAATGTTATGGATAAATATTTGGTAAAACTTTTACTAGGATAACAAGGACTTATGTCTTGTCAGCTAGGGCCATGGGGGCATCACAGTTACGCCTATGACAGTTAGCGTTATTTATTAACTCGAATGAATGTTATTACCAATTCCAACTGTTTTACATAACCGATTTTGAAAGCTGTTGGAGATTTTTTTTTTTCTTCTAGAACATCGTTTTTTTATATGCTTTCCCTAAAAAATCAGCATTTTGATACCTCATTTCCATAAAATCTTCGGTAGAAGGTCATTTCAAAACTGCTCAATTAGTTGATAAAATGACGAGTGCACCGATGAATTAGAGTTCACCCACTGAGGAAAATTGAAAATGTAAATCGTGTTGCACGCTAAACATATGCAAATAAAATATCTTCAATGCTCTCGAAAACTACAGAGTGAAATCCCAACAGATAAGCGCATTTATGCTTCATCCATGCAAATATTTTCATTGAAAAGCATCGTTTACCGAATTACTAATTTGCGCCAGATACCTACCAGTTATTAGTACTCAAGGCACGAAGAAAGACGGGGAAAGGGGTATCATTCCGTGTTTGCATCTAAAACGGAGACTAACTGAATAATTCATTAGAGAAACCGCATAAGTCACATCTTTCGGATCCGGTTAGATTAATTCACCTCTCCTACACATATTTTAGATAATTTGTATGAAAGGAACCAGTTTAAATTAGGATCCAAAATATTGATTTGTAGAGCAACCACATCGGACCTTGGTCCGGTTTTTTGTTTTGCTATTTTCCAGCATTTGTATCAATTGGACTTATGCGGTTTCCCAATCAGAAGATTCAATTCGTTTCTCCGTCTGTTTGCTGGACCATCCGAAAAAAAAACTTGCCCCGAAAGCAAACACCGAAAAACTATTTAGTATTCCTACCCGTTCGCCTTGCTCCTTGAGCTGACAGAGAGTAGAACCTAATGGTTGGCGTTGGAAATCAGAAATATGCTAATCAATTCTCGGAAATCCACTCACCCGTCCGTCACGTCACTTCAAGGAGCACCAGACTGCAAGAAGGGCCACGCGTCTGTAGTCAGTGCCAACTTTGATGGAGACGCGCGGTGGGTGACTCTGTTTACGTTTCCTATTATTCCGGTTCCGCAATAAACCATTCTCAGTGCTCCTAAACCCCATTCAAAATGTGTTCAACATCTGTGAAAAAGCTGCCTACCATTGAAGGAAAAAGCTGACGTGTTGTTTTTATGTTTTGTTTTTCATTCTTTCATTTCATTTTGCGTCGTTGCAGCCGTCACTCAGCCTGGACTACTCGTCGGTGGAAACGATCCTGCTCAAGAATGAGGGTGATTTCATCAGCGTTGAGCAGGGCAAGGAACAATCGCGGAAGAAGAAACAACAACTGCAGCGAGAACAGCAGCAGCGGGACGAGAACATGCGGCAACTGCTCGACGTCACCAACAACCTGACCCTGACGACGGAGGAGATTAAGGACTTCGAGATGAGGTAAGTGCCGAAATTGTTGATGACCCTTCTTGAGACCCAATTAATCTGGCAACGCTGCGGGACGTGTGCTTCCAATCTACCTTCTCATGATGATGCCGATGATGGAGCATCCATTACGGGGCTCATTCAAACGGCTTGATGTGACACATCTTATAACGTCATAAAATTATACGGTTGTGTATATTTATACATTACTACGCTGCACCGTCAACCGTATTCCCTTCGGTGGAGTCGCGTGTGCTACCACTTTGGAAGGTTATTTATACACGCGGCGCAAAAATCAAAAAAGTTACGACTAAGGGTATTTCACGACAGATTACCGCATTTTCCAGTCTATGGGACGTATAGAAAACGTTCCTTCGGTGACGACAAAAACAATGTATAAATTCCAAAGCCAGACACTGTATTCAAACTGCTGAAGACGGAAACCAATGGCATATCATCAAATTTTTAAGACGTACATTGCCCCCATCAAGAGGATTAAAAATCCCTCCCATTTTCGGGAAAATCGAAAACTTTGCGACAGCGGAGGATTATTTTCAATCAAACTTTATGTTGGTCATCCCCCGGCATTCGTCTTGGTGCCCATCGTTGAAGTTTGCAGTCAACCGTTTTACGTGCTACGAATTTCTATTGCTTATTGGATCATCCTGGTAAAATAGAAAAAACTCCCTTTGAATAATGGATTACTTACAAAGACGCCGGGGGCCTCCAAAATAGAAGGCGACTTGTTAAAAGCTTCTGCTACAAACCTCCGATCGTAAATTGAATTGTTAAACCTAACGCTCAGGTTCACTACTTTCCGAAGAGCAAACGCAATCGAATGGTGTTTGATCCAGGGTGTCCCCCTTCGACACGGCGGCACCACCGAGCCTAGGCATGTAATATTAACTAGTATCAGGCAACTTGATTGATGTTCAATCCGAAAACAGGCCGTTTTTCCTCGTAGGCACCGCCGGCAGATAATTCTTGAGATTTTCCCATCGTAAAGCCATGGACGCTAGAACGGATAAAGAAAGGATTATGAAGGAACCGAGCTGAGTACTCGGAAGATGTGCATGAATTATGCATTGGATCGACCACCGTAGTCGTCGTCGTTGTCGTAAGTTGTTTTGATGTTTGATGCGATGATGTTCGACAAAGAAGGTTACAGGAATTACGGTTACGGTCTAGCCGATTGAGATCGATAAGAAGTGAACAATCAGGTGCAGGTGATTTTATGGCCCAGGCACGCCATATTACACATGTTTCCCAATATCTGACTTGGTGGTGTTGCCTAGAAGCAGGTGGGACAGGTAGGACATGTCCAACGCACAAAAATTCCCAGGTAGGGCAGTCAAAGAATATATTCAAACATAAACCAACCATTTAAAGGGTGATACGGTCAAAATTTGGTCAATATCAACTTGACGTATTTCTTTCAATTTTGCATTTAAAAAACCTGAACACCCCTCATTTTGAAGGTGTGTGTGTGTAGAACGTTGCTCCTATTTTGATTTTGGAATTCACTCTTCAGTTGTCAAAATGCCGTCCAAGCAAGAAGAGCAGCGTATCAAAATTTTGCTCGCGCATCGCGAAAATCCGAGCTGCTCGCACGCAAAGTTGGCAAAATCGCTAAAAGTTGCCAAATCAACCGTTACAAATGTAATTAAAGTGTTTTGGGAACGTTTGTCGACAGCCAGGAAGTCTGGATCGGGGGGAAATCGAAAACCGGAAGCCGCTGAGACGACAAAGAGAGTTGCCGGTAGTTTCAAGCGAAACCCTAACCTCTCTCTCCGAGATGCCGCAAATAAGCTGGGTGTATCGTCTACAACCGTGCATCGAGCCAAAAAACGAGCCGGACTATCGACTTACAAGAAGGTAGTGACTCCAAATCGCGATGATAAACAAAATACGACGGCCAAAGCGCGATCCCGGAGGCTGTACACGACGATGCTGACGAAGTTTGACTGCGTGGTAATGGACGACGAAACCTACGTCAAAGCCGACTACAAGCAGCTTCCGGGACAGGAGTTGTATACGGCAAAAGGAAGGGGAAAGGTAGCAGATGTTTTCAAGCACATGAAACTGTCAAAGTTCGCAAAGAAATATCTGGTTTGGCAAGCCATCTGTACCTGTGGCTTGAAAAGCAGCATTTTCATAGCTTCCGGGACTGTCAACCAAGAAATTTACGTGAAAGAGTGTTTGAATAAACGTCTGCTGCCTTTCCTGAAGAAACACGGTTGTTCCGTATTGTTTTGGCCGGATTTGGCATCTTGCCATTACGGTAAAAAGGCCATGGAGTGGTACGCCGCCAACAACGTGCAGGTGGTTCCCAAGGACAGGAACCCTCCCAACACGCCAGAGCTCCGCCCAATTGAGAAATACTGGGCTATTGTCAAGCGGAACCTAAAGAAGACCAAAAAAACTGCTAAGGGCGAGCAGCAGTTCAAGGCAAACTGGCTTTCTGCGGCGAAGAAGGTGGACAAGGTGGCTGTACAAAATCTGAATTTTATACTAATTGAACTTGAAAAAGAAAATTTAATTTGATTTTTTTAAATAAACGATTTCACCGATTTACACGCGTTTTCCCTTGACCAAATTTTGACCGTATCACCCTTTAAATGTTTTTATAAGTTGGTATGAATACATAGTTTCAGATAAGCGCTCAGTTCAAATACATTGCTTCACACCATGAGAACTCATCTGGAATAACTCCGAAAGTTTGAGCTCAACACGATTTATCCAAAAAATGCAAAAGAGTGTTTCCTATCCAAGACATCGCGGAAATTTACCAAAATTCACGTTTCCCGATTCCCGGGAAACAAATTCAGATATGTTTTTGGGTGAAAGTCACAAGGAATTTCCCAGAGGAGCCAAAAGAAGCTTCTAAAGAGAAAATTTGGATTAACTTCCAGAGGAATCTGAAGATCTTCTAAGGTAAATCGGAAGAATGTTGAGCATAAGCATTTGCATTTGCACGAAGAACCATACTACTTTCATCATTCAAACTTTCCTTTGCCGATGGTCTCAAAGTGTATCGCATCATTGCCTCGTCTTTAGATTGTGACACTTTGCAGGAGGATATAAACGTCATGCTTATCTGGTGCGGTGACAACGACATGCGCGTTAACAGCAAGAAGTGCAAGATAATATCTTTCACTCGCTGTATCGGTCAAACTCACCATCAGTACTATATGGACGCAGAGACACTCGAACGGCTAAATTCGATCTGCGATCTGGGAGTCACCATCGATTCAAAGCTGAGGTTTAACGATCATGTTGGGATTATATCAGCCAAAGCTTTTTCGGTATTAGGATTCACCCGTCGACACGCTCCTGACTTCACCGATGTATATGCTCTAAAAACACTCTACTGTTCGTTGGTGCGCTGTATCTTGGAGTACGCTGCACCAGTTTGGTCGCCGTATTACGTAACACAGACTCTGACGATCGAACGTGTGCAGAAAAGGTTCATAAGATTCGCTCTTCGTCAGCTTCCTTGGAACGACCCAGAAAATCTTCCTCCCTATGTCGATCGATGCCAGCTGATTAAACTCGAACTTCTTTCTGCCAGGCGATTCAACATGCAACGCTTGTTTGTCTTTGACCTCATCAAAGGATCCATCGATTGTCCTGCACTTCTCGAACAGATTCCACTCAATGCTCCACCCAGACGCTTCCGCCACTCGCCACTCCTAGCGGTTCCTTATCATAGGACAAACTACGGCCATAATAATCCATTCGACTCGTGTCTTCGAGCATTCAATGACGTTAGCGATGAGTTCGATTTGAATTTGTCTAAAAATGTGTTTAGTAATAGGATTAAAGATAAGGTTTATGTTTAATTATAAGCTATTCAGTCTGTACGACTAAGTCGAAGATGGTGTAGTAAATAAATAAAAATAAACCATATGAATGGGGCTTGGGATTAGCAATCTATTCTCAGTGTGCAAAATCCGGTGAATCCTTATTTTGAGGTCAATAACGGCTCCGGCCACATCCTTACGGTCATCGGGAGGAAAAGGATTGTTATTTCGATACCTATTGTATACCTCTGCACCTCCACGGTTGTCATGGGAAGGACGTTTTTGTTGGTGGGGTTCTCACCCACAATCTTCTGCTCAGTAAGCAAAAACGGTCGCTCTAAGGCCACCATGCCCCTTTATCACAACAAGCTACGACCAAGGATCGTTCATTATCGGTTACAAGGAGCTATTACAATGACATGTCATCCCTGAAAGCAGTTAACAATGTCTTCTGAACCGGCTCAAGCGTACGTTACTTTTGTCTAAACATATGTATTACTATTTCGAATCGTTCCGCCGAGTTCTATTATTCTAGATTCTCTACAATAGAGGACTGCGCTAGATCAACTCCGTGTCGGAAGATCTTGTGTGGACCATATTGTCACGCTCCGCATCATCCTGGAGCTGGCCAATGAATTCCAAGAGTCCCTTTATTTGGTATTCATTGACTATGAAAAAGCTTTCGACCGTCTCAATCACGAGAATCTGTGGGGCGCCCTGAGACGCAAGGGAGTCCCGGATAAAATCGTCAACCTCATCGAAGCGCAGTATGAGGCTTTCACGTGCAGAGTTCTGCATAACGGACCCTTGTCCGACCCTATCCGGGTAGTCGCTGGTGTGAGACAAGGATGTATACCATCACCGCTACTGTTTCTCATCGTAATCGACGAGATCATGGTAGGTGCAATTGACCGTGTACCGAACCGTGGGCTGCTTTGGCAGCCTATCACCATGGAGCATCTCAACGACTTCGATTTGGCTGATGATGTTGCTCTACTAGCACAACGGCGCTCTGATATGCAGAGTAAGCTCAATGACCTAGCCGAACGCTCCTCTGCGGCGGGTCTCACCATCAACGTCAACAAGACCAAATCGTCTTCATCAACCGATGCCTGCGGTATATAATTCGGGCCTGGTGGCCTCACAACTGGATCTCGAATGCCGAGCTACATCGTCGATGTCATCAGAAGCCGATAGCAACAGAAATTCGAG